TATTAGACAACAGCCATATTATATATGGCTTACTTAATATTGATATATTGCTTAAAATGTTCCGTTAATAATTTCTTATTATTATTTGTTACTATCTATTATATTATTAACTAATTTATTATATTTGTATTTAATTTGTATTAATTCTTAACTGTGTTTAATTATTTAATTGTTATCTAATGTAACTATATAATGTCTTATTTTTTATTGGACATTGTGTTTATTGAATAATTAAATAAATACATACAATTTTGAATCAAATTATTGAACATAATTTCCACTAGACAACTAAATATAGTTGTATTAAAAAGTTTGTCACTATTCCACATATGGCTAGTTACATGCAGCTGTGGTAGCACGGTCACATCCACGTGAAAAAGCAAGTGAAAAAAAAATATATATTTTATTAACGAAATATTACGTAAGTTATTATATCACAAACATTATATGATTAATAATTAAAAATAAAAATATAAAACAACAGATAACTCTTAAAACTTGTACATTTTTAGATTAAAATGGTAATTGAAATGAAGGTTGGTTTTTATTTTTTTTAAATTAATCAATATGCTTATTCATATGCTTCGAAACCTATTAAAAAGAGATAAAAGTATATATGGCGGTAAGTGACAAAAGTAAAGAACACGTTTTAATAATCACGGAAGAGTACGTAGAAATAAGGCATTCCCTACTATAGCTAAAAGAATAGGTTAAGAATCGAATATAATAAGGTAGTTTCTAGAATCTATAGAGGCATAAAAACTAATACAATTGAGATCTTTTAGAACAGCACTACTTTCTTCGAAAAAAGAAGATACATAGCGGATAGATTGAGTATTGAGTTAAGATTGCAAATAAGTTTATTTTACTATTAAAAGTGAAATGAATCCATCATTAAAAATTGGGACACTTGAGTAAAAATAATCATGAATAAATTGTCTAAAAATGTATTGGACGTACAAGAGGACAGTGATTATAATTCCATTGGAGTGTATCCTAAGAAGTTAAGAGCCATACTAATATATTATTCATGATCATTGAATCTTTATTTCAACGAATTGATACTCTATGTAGATTAGTGTATCAATAGTGTTGGATATATTTATTTGTGGGTAATTTTCAATAATGGTCTTTAAGTTTGGAGGAATTGGATAAATATTTTTCGCTTGATTATTTTTAAACAGCAGACAGCTTAAGGTTGGAGGATATCTGGTGGTACGTGGTTTATTGTAATCACCTCCAGAAGATTTTGATATGGAATTAAGTTTGGATAATTAATTTAACATAAAATGATCGTCCGATAACCGATACTAACAAACGATACGCATTAGCATTAGCATAGTCGGAAGTTTTAGCCTTTAGGCCAGGCTAATATATTTATATATATATAATATATTACAATTAATGTAATGATTTGGAGAACATTTTTTAATATTTTTGATAATATTATATAGCCTGAGAAATTTTCAGAAACCACAGATACCTGTTCATAAAATATTTCGAAAATTTATTATGCCTTTTTGTAACGACTATGTAATCTAACAGTAAGACAACCGGCTTAACCGATATACTTTTTACATGCAAAGTTTGTATTATATTAAATAATAAACGTGTACATTTTAACTAAACATAATATTGTAAACGAAAAAAAATTTGTTTATTCATACTATAATACGTATGTGTGCAAGCACATGTTTTCCTTAATTCTAATAAAAATAATTGCACGTGATAAAATATCAAAAACGTGCAGAATGAATAAGTGCCATGTACACTTAAATAATGTTATCACTGCGAAGATTCAATGTCGTTGCAATGAGTAATGGGGTTAATTGAGTCGGGCATCGATCACTATAACGTCATCTTTGCCTGCACTGCCGAAAAACTGCATTACGTATTGACCTGCAGCCGTGCATAAAAATGTAAAATATCGAAATGGTAAATTCGTTATTATCTTTAAACAAGTGCGGAAAATAATGAAGTACCTATACAGAATACAGATTATACTGACAAGTAGACGATTATGTTTAACACGGAAAGAGTTATGAATGATAAGTTACAAACAATGAAAATCACAATGATAATTTGCTAAGAACGCAGATATATGCATATGCGTACTTATGATATACTCTCAAAGTAATCGCCCTAATTATAATTCGAAGAAAGACGATATTTAAATCGTTTTACAGACTGTCGACGAAAAATTGAGTACGCTGCGAACTGTGGAAATAATATAAATATTTAATTGTAATTAATTAACTATAATCAGGAATAATCCTGTATGGTCCACATTAAACTAAAATTACGATAAACGACTAAGCGCCTATGCTGATATGTATTTACTGTTTTATCACAAAAAAAAAGTCATTTTTTCTCTGAATGTTTTTGTTTATGTTTGAAAGAGTGTGTTGTACTGTTGTACTACCCATTTTGTGTAATCGTCAATGTAATCTTATATCCTTTTCTTCTAGTATTATTTACTCTATATAAGAAGGAAAAACAGTCGGAACGATGGACATAATGTGTATTGTGTACTGCTGTATAGCAATTCAAGGCGCTTTCAATCCGTTGGGGTTAACATGTCCAGCAGTGTTTGCGAATGAACATTCACACACGCACACAAAATACATTATATTTATTATTGTTACATTGTGTATAAGCTTTTCTAAATGACATTAAATACTTTAAGTTATGAGTATACTGGTATAGTTGAGATAAGTTTATTGTACGATATGATGTACAATATAGTACATGTTGAGAGTATTGAACAAAATTCCATTTTATAACACGTCTAGAATATAATATATTATAATTCATAGTATTATGCTGTACAGATGCTTCATTCTTAAAGTGCGTAAATGTATAATTAACATCGTTAATATGTAGGTGAAAAACTTGATAGCTTGGAAAATAATCAGAAAACACGGTAAATTTACTCGTTTTATTGCTAATTTTTGTAACCCATTATGTACATAATTTTGTGTTTACTGACACATTGTGGTCAAACAATAGTAAAACAATGACAATTTATAATAATATACACGTTAACGGACAATAATTATTTATTTTGAATTCAATAGTTTAAATCAATAACAGAGTGTATACTATGTGCAATAACACAATAAATATTTACAGGAAGTATACATTTATTCTGTAAAAATTAAAAATGAATAACGATTACAGTAAATCTCTTGAATAAATCATGTTTTATGTTATATCTATACTTATATAATCTAATAACCAAACATAAAAGTAAATTATAGGAATTTAATTGAATTAACCTACTGGATTATACGTCAATCATCTTTAATATTTTAAAAGCACAGCAAACATTTATAATTTATGCCACTTTGTTAATTTGTTAATATAGTTTGAAGTTTGTTGCTATAAGCCTATAAAGCTTAAATATTTTAATAAGTTGGCTTACAATCATATCATACGATACGAATACAAAATATTTTTTTAGAAACGGTAGTAATATTTACAATGATCGATCATTCTTCTCAAAATATTTCGAAGAAACCTAATAATATACAATAGTCATAATATATTTTTATTTTTTTTTTATGTATAGTTTTGTTTTAATGTGGGTTACCTATAGTGATTATACTAATAATATGACTTATGAGTAATATATTATTTGTTTTACTCCTTGTTATCGTAAGTTATTTGATAATCAGTAATATTAAAAAGAAGTCACTTTAAAAAAAATATATTCAAATAATTATCAATCAATGTAGAATTTCTATAATATAATTTAACAATGCTTTGTGGTTATTGAATGCAGTTATTTGTGATGATATAAGTCATACGCATAATAAAAAATATCGTGTCTACCATTTTTAGTTAAAAATATTTATTTATCACGCAATATTTTATAACTTATAGTTTACACGTAGCGATGATATATACCTACTTTATTTCATGTATCATATTTATGTCCTGTAAAAATTAACCGATAGTAACTGTATACTTGCTAACTTGCACGTTCCAGATTGGGCACGTACATCGTTTGTAGAAGAGAGCGAGCACTTTTTCGATATACGAATATTTTTAAATTGATTTCTGTTCACCGACAACACTGTTGAAAATGTTTTGTTTTGCCGTAAGCGGAAATAATTATTGATGTTCCGCCGAAACCAATGCGTGTCGTACAACAAAAAATTCCTATTCGCATTGCAGAGCTCAAGAGCGCAAGTTCGTCACAGCGGCTCCTACGTAACGTAGTAATAATATCATAATAAAACGGATAGCCGAGTTACGTTTCGGTGCGGTTCCGCCGACGAATTCAAATTTTCGCGCGTTTTCGACCGCGTCGCGCAGTCCTCCCCTTTCGTCTTCGCCGTCGCGCACTCGCGGGGTTGGAATTTACCGCGGTAAAACCCCGATCGCGCGTGTTGTACGCACGCATTTATATTGTATATTATTATAATAATATATAATGTACAATATATAGATATACGCGCGTCGCATGTTTGTAGGTATGTATTATAATCGATTTCATTCAGCCTATATGTATAACGTATAGCGGTACTGCCGGCTTTGCGGGGGCGTAGTACGTTCGTATATACATTTATATATATATATATATTAGGCGTATAATACTATATAATATACGTATATACACGACGATGGTACAGTGACGGGTAGGGGTGCAGATAGAAGTACATATATATATATATATATATATATATAAGCGTGCGTGTGTGTGCGGTAGTCCCGAGCGGACTTTTTATCGATTCGCTAGCGGCGACGGGGAAAACCCGCGACGGCGGCGCTCGCGCTTGCGCGCCGGTCCGTCCGCCAACGCCTCTCCTCCGCAGCGGCGGCGTATTGTTTTTATTATTATTATTTGCGCGCTCGGCGGCGACGGCGCGACGCGCGACAACGACACCGCGGCAGCGACACACACGCAGTAGCCAGTTACATTCAGTAACAGCTGCGCGCCGACCGCCGACGGTCACACCACGACCGCCGTCACACATTCGCCGCCCGCCGCAATCATGTCGGCCGTGTACGCGTTTCGCACGATGGACGTCGTCCTGCTTTTCGCGTGTTCCTGCACGTTTTTCGGCGAGTTTCACAAGTCGTCCGCCGCCATACCTCCCTATCAGACGTATCAGGACGGTAAGCCGATCACAAAAATATGATGATTTACTCTCGGTCGATCGCGATCGTCGATCGTCCACGACGACGACGACGACGACGACGACGACGATGATGATAATAATAACGATAATAATATAATTATAATATTTATTTTGACGTTATCGCCGCCGCCCCGTGTTGCAGGACAAACGGTTTTACCTGTGTTATGTCGTAACGCGTAGGTGTACATATTGTGCGTGCACACCGTATCATACCGTATTGTGTATACCGTAATACTCGTAATAGGTAATCAGACTTGCCCGTTGTACACGAATTACGAGTATAACGATATTGAAACACTTATTAACGTACCCACCCACGTCTTAATCGCGCCATTATTTCGACGTTCACCACTTGTTGGGCTCCTTCCGTGCAGCAGAAGTCTCCACTACCGCCACCACCGCTCCGGTCGAAATAATGATGTTTTATTGCCACCTGTTTCCCTGCGTGGATGCCGCTCCCCCAGGGCCATCGCGCGACTGCTTAATAACACATAAATAATGATATTGCACTAACTATTAAGTCTTCTGATTCTTCTATACACCCGTCTCGTTCGGTTGGCGCGAAGACTTTCAATATGGTACGTTTGTATAGAATTAAGTCATCGCACTCGTTGCTTAAATTCCCAATAATAGCAGCAACGTATTGTACTTATACGTGATCGAGAATTCGTGACATTGAAATCCGTGAAAATTATTTCTTTGGATTTGGTACATTTTTTATAAAATAAAAGTAAATATTTTTTACATTTATTGATGTATTATTATATTTATGTTTATAATGGGGGGGGGAATGTGGGCATCATTTTTTATAAGTAGACTTTGGACTTGAGTCACAACACCTTTTATTTTATCTTCGATCATAATTAGAATATCGTAATATCGTATATTGAAGTGTATCCGAACCATATGGTACAATTAATTTAAACATCAGACTCGTGACCAATGTAGAGATTTACGACAGTATACGCGCTATACGACGGTATACGATTCTGCTTTTAAATCCATAACTTTTAACAGCATTATGACGTTATTTCGTTAGAGTTTATTATACCTACACATATTTAAGGGATTTAGAATAGACAAATATTCAATTTGCCGCGCATACCATTTATCTTCTCGCCGGCATTCAATGTATATCTGGTAATGCATGAATTGTATACATCTAATTAATGCCGAAAATTTATAATGCACAAGTAGACACTTTACATGTAATATATATGAATATTTAAGTGTATAGTATACGTCACAACGACTGCGCAGAATATACAAAGTACAAGAAACAACAATAATATTATTGCGCGTACAATATACATATAAGACATTAACGTTATTCCAACTTATTCGTATACACGATACCAATAATAATAATATATTAATAGGTGTATCGTGTATATATACATTATAATAGGCACAGCACGCGTTAAGCGACCAATAAACACCATAATAGCTAATAGCATCACAATACACAGGTGGATTAAAAAAGGTTCGTGTGTAGTTCACATTAACGTAAATCGTTCATTTATTATTAACAAAAGTCCCGAATTCATTTTTAAATAGTCTTTATTAAAATTTGAACTATTGCAGAAGGTAATTTCTTTTTAAATTTTAAGTGCAATCTTGTAATTAAATTATATTTCTAGCTTTATATAATATCATGTATAATTTTTTAGTTAAAAATATACTATACAGTTGGTAATTATCGTACTTATAAATATTATATTTCCTGAAACTAGAGTAAATATAATTTAGTTATATTTGCTAATTTACTTGTACAATGTAGTATAATATATGAGTATGTACTATGTTTACTGTGGAATGAAAAAGAGGAATTTAATATTAAAGAATACTATCAGTACAATACTATGTAAGAGTAAACAAATGTATCTATAATCTTTTTATAATATATACATTATACACAATATATTAATTTACCTCCATTACTTACGAGTATTTTGTCGTCAAAATAAATGTCGGTACACAACTACAAAATAATAAAATCTCATTAAGTGAACGATGAACCCAATTGATTTTTCGGTGGATGAATTTAATTGAAATTTAGTTTCTATATTATTGTGATCTGTGACATTCAAATTTTAGCCATTCGAATTTAATAATTTAAAAGATGTTATACGTAATTTTTTTGCGTGAAAAAAAATTACTTTTAATATTTTAGTTGAACAAGTTTCAGATTAATAATTATAATTTATAGTAAAATATGCATAAACTTAATGTTATATTTAAAATTTTACATTACACGAAATTTCTTGTTTAAAGTTTTTAAGCATCTAACTTCGAGGTTAAGATTAGATTTACAGATGTTATGTCAAAATTCAGCGTTGACATATTTTTATAAACTTTACTCATATATACTGTATTATATGATAAAAATATATTAATCATGTTATTACCATATTATTATCTAACCATTATCATAAATTTAAATTATACCTTTAAAATGACCACTTCTTCGCAATTTCTTGATAATGATTAATAAGTAATAACTAATAACTATACTTTAAGAAGAAAATTAAGGATCCACTCATGATCATGATTCTATATTATGTATTCGTGATTTCAATAGTGCATAACATTAAATAGTTGAACATATTCATATCATGTTCGATTCAAAATACAGGGCTATAGTATATATATTGTATAGCACTAAAGATAATATTATAATTATGATTAAATTAGTAGTTTCATTTATAATAATAATAATTTAATTTAACATTAAAATTGTGGGAATCTATCGATTTTGCCACTTACCCAATTTGTATTTGTGATCATCCTGTTTATTTAACTTGATTAAAAAATATATTTACAGTTGACTTAATTATGTAACTAATATTTTTGGAAATAATAACTCAAGTATTGTATCTAAAAGATATACATATATCAAAATTGTAACTAACTTTATTAGTGATTAGTGTGGGATAAAATAAATTAGCCATCTTACGCGTCCTTCTTATATATTATCATCAATTAGCGATAAAAAATCAATATTTCATAAAAAAAAAAAAAAAAACACTATAAAATAATATTTATACATAGGTATTTTAAATAAAACTATATATCTATAGAGTATATTATAATTTATAGTACAGCTATGTAAATAAAATCAAACCATAATTTTCAATCGGAAAGATTGATTTTCCCCCTGTTTGTTTAGTGTAGAATCGGTATAGGTTGTTTTTAAACTTATTGTAATGGTGGAATCAATATACTTTTTCCCTTAATTTATAAAGATCTGATGGAATTGATGAAACTTTAATATTGTATATTATGGTAAGTAGTCAGGAGTTTAATTGAAAATAACTGTCCAAGTACATGTAATAATTATTATCAATATTATTTTTAATTTGACTAGCAACCAAATGCTCAGAATTAACTTAATATACATTTTGATTGTATTAAATTATTAAAAATAAATAATTAACTTAAAATGAATAACATAACTTATTTATCACTAATACATTTGTACTGTTTATAGGGGGAAAAAAATGACTTTATCATAAAATGTAATATTCATGTACCTAGAGTTTATTAAAACACTTAGGGTCATTATATTAATACTTACAAATGTTTAATTTAAAAAAAAAAAGAACTACTAATTTTTTTTAATGGAAAGGTATTAAGTATCTACCAATTTTATAATGAAAACATAGAATAAAATTCATGATACATTTTTGCTTTCCGGATTTACAACTTTGAATTAAGGACTACATATAGGTAGTAAGAACACTTTTTTCATAATAAATCAAAAACAATAGAGATTTTTTTTTTTTGAAAAAATATTGTTTACTTCAATAATATCCATACATTATTATTATTATTATTATTTTTTTTTTTTTTGAAAGGAAACTAATAGTAATTTAGAACTCAAACTTTCTGAAGCATAATATAATATATTGTGCTCTTGAATTTAATAATAAGTTAATAATCTTTTACGTCTTGTATAAAGTATAAACGTTTAATCTTAACTGCATACAATACTTCCATGAATTGTTCAAATGTTTGTACATTTAGCACTATTAAAGTTACACATTCTCGTAACTCATTGATACTTGTAAATTTCAAAAGATTCATTTATGGCAAATAATAGTAGTTCCAATATCGGGCACCGAAACTTTAAACTGAAAAGGTTTATTATTTTGTATTATTCACAAACTTCAAAAAGAATACTTTTAAATATAACACAAACACATTTCTGATATATCTGTAAAATATATTTTTTCTAAATGTCATCTATACTTTTAATGGATTAAACCTATCTTATAACTAACGGCCGATCTTATTAAAGAGCGTCTTTTAGGCTTCTAATTCCTAAATGTTTAATACAAATAATTTATTTTTATTTTGTATAGGTAGCCAATTTGTAGATCTTTATTAATCGTATTTCAATCACGTTTAAATTTCACAATATTTCTTTGATAGGTAATTTAAAATACGTTTATAATATCAATAAATTTACATTTCACCAGTACCTATCTGTTACACTATGATAGTTTAATATAATTTTATTACTTATTAGCTATTGAGGAGAAAAAGGCAAAAGCAATTTTGAATATTTATGAATGATAAATAAGTATTGTTTTTAATTAACTATATTGTACAGATTTTAAATGAGGAAAATAAACATAATTAAGTTATTTATACATTATATGGATTTATGTAGTGATCCAACTTACAAAAACAGAGTAAAATAAAAATAATTTTTGATTATTACTCAATTAGTTTATTGGTGCGGACGCATTGGAAAATAATTTTAACTATATTAGTTACAGAATTATGAAGTTAATTAGTCTAAAATAAATTATATTATATTAAAAACAATGCAAACTTATTATAATCCCTATAGACAATTTTTTATGCTGAATATATTTATTAATATATAAATAAATTACTTAATTACTCGTACTTAACTTTTTGACTAGGTGTAAACAATTAAATTTTTCCCAAGTGTCCTAGTGTACAGTTGTAAATAAATCAGTCAAAATCTGTATAACTATTATAGTTTAAACTATTACAGCTAAATTTTTGTTGTTCTACATCTATGTGAGCAAAAATAGTAAATAATGAGTATAACGCCTATAATAAATATAGTGATATCTAGATTGTAGGTATATTAAACCTCTTGAATTTTGGTTATTAAATTCTTATGTTTTATTTTAAAATTCTAATGCTATAGGTACATTGAAATACAAAATTAATCATATTATTTTTTAAACTATTATAATAATTTAATATTTTGATTTATTAAAATTAAAGGTTTTAAATAATTGAAAACTAAACTTGTTGAAAAATGATAACGTTTATTTATATCGGACATAACCTAACTCTTTAGTCCATCTTATTCGTGTTTAATTATTTTTTTATACTAAATACAACAGTATACAATATACTATAGACCTGCATATAATTTAACTTAATGTAATATAAATGTTGAGTTTGAAATTCTAACGAATCAGTTTAGTAATTTATCACAAAATGTTTTGTGTTTAATAATCATAATTAAATTTAAATTTTATTACCCATATAATATTTTAAGTAAAATACTTGTTTACTTGTTTATCATATTATATCTATGATAATATTATGGTGACAAATTTACTAATAATATGATGTGAAACTATAGTTCAGTATTCTTAAACATTCTAAGTAATTCGCTAAAATAATTTTTGTAATGTATTATGTTCATCATGCAGACACGACAAGTAAAAAAAATTATACACATAACTAAAATAGTACTATCATTTTCACAACTTAACATAATATAGCAAGTATAGTTCACGATTATCATACTGTTACCCACTGGTTTTTTACTTATGGAAATGAGAAATATAACGGCAGGTGTTTTATAATTTTATAATGAAATGTGTATACAAGAACAAAGACTAAAACAACATTAAAATTACACATTTTAATACAAATTTGAATTAGGTACTTATTTAAAAATCGTAACTACGTATTTGACGACATCGATTATCTCTTCAATATCTATATTTATCCAAAATATAAATGCATTTTATAATGCATTGTTACTAATCGTATTCTAACAATGTAACAGTTATTGATTAAAAAAGGGGGAAATTAGGAAACCACTCTGCAGTAGGTGTCGAGTATACCTTGTCATTGAGAGTAAGTCACAATAATACGTATGCATTTGTTAAATTTGAATTCAATGACAAACTATTGTAAACAAAAAACGATTCTAAGCGGTTAGGATAGGTTAACACACATTACTAAATATATTTTATGATACGTACATTAGTATTGCTATTCAAATAATTAATTATTGTTCTATTAGTATCCAATACAATGTGTTGGGTTAATTTTTACCGAAAATATTGTATTTATAAACGTTATTGTGTACAATAATATTTGTACATCACAACAAATTACAAAACAACAAAAATCTTTATTATTTCAATCAATTATTATAAAAGTCAAAGTCAAAGTAAAAAAAAAAAAAAATCGAAAAATAAAGTGTCTATAAATTACTTAAAAAAGAGTTAAAAAATATTTTGAAAATTATTCTGACAACAATGGATTACTTGTATAAGAGACATATAATTGCCTTGAAATTCACTTTAAATTGTGTACGTGTGGAGTAGGTACACATTGTTTTTCTGTTAATTATTTAAATTGACAAGTCTATTTATTTATATTCAAGCATGTACAATGTACATAATATACCTTTTTAACATATATTTTCTATCAACTGTTTTTGTTTTGATTCTATCAAATTAATATCTTGTAATACAAGACTCGTTAAATTTATACTTAATACCATTGTCACTTTTTTATGTACTTATGTCACATATTACATTTAATAAATCTTAATAACCAATTGTTTTTGGACAGTATAATTTTTATATTGTTTTAAAAGTCTTTTGTGCAAACATGATTTGTAGGTTTGTGTTTTTTTTATAAATAACTATTTTGAAATTGTGTGTTTATCTATAGAAATAAAAAGTAATATTTTATTTGATTTTAAATCATTAATTATTATAATTATTGTGTGCGTATAGTTGAAAGTTGTTTCTTCGAATCTAGGTTACCGCTACTCATATGTGTTTAGCCATTATCTATAATTACCGAACATAATAGTGTTTAATGTTTATGGTCCATATTATTTATAAAATAAAAATATTTTTATTGAATGAAAGCTTTTTCAAGACGTTAACATAAGTATAATAAAAATTAAATGAAATAAGAAAAAAAATAAAACCAATTTACAGTCTTAATCTTTAGTGATCACAAAATATAGACAATAATTTATTTTAAATTTAAGTAATAGTATAAATAATTAAAATTATGTATAATGTACTTATTTTATACTATTTTATGTGTATTACTGATTTCATAATAAATACATTATATTGTTTAATCACCACTCACCATTAACATAAAATAATCATTTAGTAATGCATTATAAATAACATTTTATACTTTTAACTGTAAATATATTAAATATAAATAGAATTTTCGCATTGGCTACTAAAAATGATTTATTGGTACGGAAAAAAAATATATATACACCATTCATGAATCTTAAATGTTGGAATATTATTAAGATTAAATATCCGTTTTATACATCACATATTATTATATTTATACAAGTTTATGTGGTTATAAAAATGGTGAAATCAAATTTATAATAAAGGATCTAGTCGAATAAAATCTAAAAATTCTAATTAATAAAAGTATAAATTATTTTTTTATCAATATATCATTTGTTTAAGCTTTAAAATTCAAAACTCTTTTAATTCTATATAAATTATACTACTATTGTAAATACGTTGTCTAATTGTATCTATTTTAAAAAATTTTCACTTTGTTTGTGAATACACTTAGTATACAAAGACAACATAATAAAATTTACTTATTTTACTTGAATAACACTGATTATCTGAATATTTTAATACCTACAGTAATATAAAAATACAATATTATTATCGAAAATCGTATGTACACCTAAAACCATTTGGTATATGACCGAATAATAATAATAATGTAGTCATCGGGTCTTTTTGACTGCAGCTGTGTACACAGACAGGATGAAAGCTAAACATTGCAAAATTGAGAAAAAATATTGGCAAGCATTAATTATTTTACCTATATAAAAAATTATAAAATAAAATATGAAGGTTATTATCATATTATCGTTACATTTTTTGAATAATATTTTTTTGATTGTTATGGTTTTAAGTGATAAGCTTCTATAGAGTGACACATATTTTTTTTATCAGTTAAGTTGTCTATTTATATCTATATCCGGTTAAATACACGAAAAATGTGATAACAATGATAATATATACAGAGTGATTTTTTAACGTACTTATATGACAATCATTATTTTGAAACAATTAACCCTTTTGAAAATATTTTCATTCTAAGCCATTTGTAAAATGTGTTGATGTATATTTGTGTAATGTGTATATAAATGTTTCAAATGTATATTTTGCAGTAACGCTAAAATTCTTTTTGAAATAAATGTTGGGTTAATGTTTTTATGTATGTATATATGTGTAGACGAAAAAGAGTTTATAATCGATCAGTTGGCAAAAATTATCAAGGATCAAAGCTATAGAATGCAGAATAATCTTCAGGATTCGTATCCGATTCCTCTCGATCAGATAAATGATAATAAACAGGCATTCACATATGACCTGGCATCTCATTTACCTGAAATAAACACGGGCAATCAGGAAATACCATTCGCCGTATTGCCCAACGACCGTCGTTACTATCAAACAGGTAGTTGGTGGTGGTCAGATTTCGAATAGTAGTTTGAATTATTTTTTTCTTTTTATGCATGGCGTCGTTTACTATAGTATTTTTATTTCAACCTTTTTTTTTGTAGATCATTATTAAGCCACAATTGTAATTGAAATCCTCGATTTCTAGTGAATAATTTATAATTTAGATTTTAGATATATTTTTTTTAAATAATAATAAACGATAATGTTGTATGTTACTTAACTAATGTAGTGCTTGTTAAAAGTATAACCACAGATTTTAATGTATTAAACTGAGCGGTGCACTACTATTTTCAGGAAAGAAAAATAACTCTAAAATAGCACGTTGGTCGACCTCGAATAACAGTGCAACCTATTTTTAGGTGGAAGATATAGCTTATAAATATTTTAATAATAAATCGTTATTATAATCTGTGGTTTGGCACTATTAAATTACATATTTTAATTTACTTAAATGCATGCGCTTATTTGTTCGTGTTTTGAAAAAAAATTTTATAATTATTTGTGAATATATATATATATATATACCTTGTGCAATGATACGCTTTGTAATAATGATAAGTATAATAAGGGCAGTTTTAAATTATCTATATAATATTTAACTAAATACATAGTAAACTAATTTTATATTTCATTATTATGTATATTTAATTGTTATTAAAGATTTCTTGTAACACGTATTGTTTGTGGTTAAGATTTTTCTAGTAATTTGGGACCACAAACTCCAGATCACGGGGTTCGTAGATACCATAAAAAGCTAACTACTAAAAGCAGTGAAGTACAAGATAATTTGTCATATGGTTCTAATGGATATGCTAAATCAAAGGTCACCACAGAGAATACGAGCGACAGTGAAGTATCCATGGATTTACCGCAAAACACTTTTATGCAGGTTATGCCATTTTCGGCTCATTCAAGATTCAGTCAAGACGATTACTATTTCTTTGGTATGTTTAATTTTATTTATGGTTATGTATCTGAGTAACATTAGTAATAACTATTTAAATAGCTTAAAAATAGATAAGTGAAAAATAATGCATTCATTCAAACTAATATATTACTTATGAATTATAAATGTTCTTATCATATTATAGTACCTACAAGAAATTAAGAATTAAATAACACATGAAAGTTAAATATACAAATAATTGCATAAACATGTATGCATCAATCATTTCCTCAGTATTTTAAATATACACGGTATATGAATATTATTACTCAATTTTATACATTCATTCATTATATATAAATTCAACTGTTTTTATTATAAATAAGGCAATAAAATACATGGTCTGGTAGTCAAAGAATATTTCTATAGGCAGAGTGAGATTTTATTTATTAGTAATAATAAATTAATAAAGATTAAAAGTCTGACAGACCGCGGTTGTATCCTAAAGGTGTTGGAGATAAACCCACACTCCTCCTACCAATATACTTTTGGATGTGATAATATATTTTTAAATGACTTCATTTTTTTTTTTTTTTTGTTATCAGTTAATAGAATTCAATTTCTCGCTTTGAAACTCACCACTGTAGAGATTAATACAGGGTACCCAGACCTGAAATTGTAATATACACGCTTCCGCTAACCTCAGTGAAGAATAAATTAATTTAAATTTGTAATATTATCAAACATAAAAAGCAAATTATTATTTGAAAAATAATTTAGTGAAAAATACTTTATAAAATTAATTGAAATTTATTTCTAAATTATTTAAAAATTATATATTTTTCTAAAACCTACATTTTCAAACCAAAAATTACGAAACGATCTCAAAAAAAATATTTGTTTTACTTGAAAGTTTAAATTAAATTAAAATATAACTTATATTTTAAAACACTAAAATATAATACTAAGAAAATAAAATGATTTTTAAATAATTTTGAAAAAAGAAATGTTTTTATTTCTAAATAATACTATATGAATAAACTTTTATTTTGAAATTACAGTCATACTTTATGTAACTATACAGCTATACCTAATATAAATTGTGTTTAAATAAAAATTATACAATTTATATTAAAATAGATAATTAGAATTTTTTTAGTCAAATAAATAATCAATTATAAATATTTGTACAATATTAAAATTCGTGTGGATTGTGAAAGTATAGTGTACAACCGCACAGATTTTTGTGATTATTAATAATTGCATGAATAATTTACTAAAAACAACAAATAGCAAAAATTATCATATTAGTTGCAAAAATACAATCTGATATATGATGTAATATTTTTACAAATTTAAGCTGTATAAATTATTGTCATAAATACATTATTCATATTATATACAAAATTTATGTTAAAGCCTTTATTCAAAATAACACAAATTGATAAAATATATATTGTCATAATAAATAAATATGTGTCTTTTCATTGAGAAGAACCATGTAATAGATGCATTAAAATTAAATTAAATAATAAAATTTGTGTATAAAAAAACTATTCTGAATGGAGGCTTTAATATGGTCTTTCAACTCATTTTTCTAAAGATATTTTAATTTATTTATGTAACTATTAGTAATTTATTTTTCTAATAATAATAATAGGGTAGTTTGAACTAATTTTTGGTCAAAAACATAAACAAATATCAATTATTATAGTTTTTTTTCTTATAGCATTACTAGTTGTCAATAATAGCGTACTATCGTAGAACTATTAAAATATTTTTATGGAATAAATAGTTAAAAATGAATACAAGTATTTTGAAAAATTAATTATGAATAATAAATAAATAATAATTATTTATATAAAAGTTTATAGTTGCAAATCCCACAAATTATTATTACAAATTATTTTTAGCAATGAACACTTATTTTTTATTTAAATATCTAATTTCATAGAATTTTTAGTTTATAATGTCTTTAGAAAAATTTTGCATATTTACTTTTATTATTTTTATTATATTTAGAAAAAATTTTTTGGAAAACTCATACTACATTTTCAAGTCTGCAGATTATATTAAAAATGTTTAATCAAAATATAATTTATAAATTTTCTTAATTTTGTCAAAATTTGAGTTTCAAACATTTATAAAACAAAATTGCATATGTATTTTCTTTAATTTTAATATTTAAAAAAAAAACAACTTTTTAGAATTTTTTATTAAATTTTCAAGTTTTTTAGCTAATTTGTAACATTTTAAAATATTCAAAAATTTTAAATGTCTATCAATAGCTTTAGGTTAGTCGTTAATTTACGGCCAATGTTTTATGAATCGTAGGAAAATATCAAATATTATTTTACGTCTGAATTTCTAATATGTTGTCAAAGTTTATGATAACTTATATTAAATATATGCGGCTTGTTATGCTAAACTTTTCTTTTAGAATTCCAATAAAAATAACTTATGTTAGTCTCTAAGGGGCTGAGAAAATTTTTCTTTTACCTCTTGATTCAAACATTTAAGTCCTGTATAGAAACATTGAACACATTTTGAAAATATATTAATCAAATTCAAATAAATAATAATAAAAAAAAAAATATACACGTAAAAATCCAAAAAAGGGTGCCAGTGAAAATATAATGTTATTGTCCATGATTATAAAAAACAACCCCCGTAGTTATATTTTTATAATAAATACCTAAATACCTAATAGATATTTCACATATTTCATAATATTATATAATACGTAGTGTTAGTATAGATATTTGATAACGTAGGTAATATTGATAACCTTACTCTATAGTTAATAATATAAACGCAAAATACTATAGACTATTACTGATTGCTAAGTATCCAAGTTCTCGATAATATAGTTGAATAATTATAATAAAGGTATTAAAACATGATAGTTACAATAATAATAACTAATAAAATAATAATTTAGAGACTTCTACCACGAAGAAATTAATATAATAATTTTTATATTAATACAATTTTATTTTGAAATTATATAGAGCTTTCTTTTTTCTATCAAATATATAATTGATAGAGTTTAATATTTGATATGGATTAAATTCAATGGGTGGGTAACTTAAGTCTCATATAAAAAATGTTTTTGTTAAGTTTTTTTTTTTTTTAAAGTCATTACCTATTAATACTTTAAAATATTTACATTTTGTACATGGTAGTATTTTTTCCACTAATCGCCTCACATACACAACATATCAGTAACGGATAACTCTATTTCCGTAAAAATAAACCTTCGCGATTTTAATCGATTTTTTTGACATATACCTATTTGAAAAATATTTTCAATTTTTCGAATTAAGCTGTAAAGTGCGCTGCGCAATAAGTATAATATGCAAATTTCTCTTTATAGTTACTTGAATAAATAAAAAGTTTAATAGTTTAATGGAAACATGAATCTCATTTCGTTCGCTCGTGATTTCATTAAGCATTTATGAAAGATGGTATATCATTAAGGCAAAACGGGCTATAATATATTCTATATGTTCCTAAATTCACGTTTTTTTAAATTTATTTAGGATATCTTTATATTTATTTTCAAAATGCCATATGACATTAATTTATTAAAAAGATACACATACAATAACATTTTTAAGAAAACAATATTTTTAAAACCCCAAAATATAATTTCTAAAAAGAAAAAATAGTTTACTGTTTACAGTCACAACTAAACATAATTCGCTAATTTCGTAATATCAGTGGGGACCAGATATTTACACGTAAAACCGTTTTGAAATCTTATCAAGTAGATCTTGAAAGATAATAACTAGCTATATGAGTACATTTACGATCTGAGACCTTTTGTATGTGAGTACGAGTGGGGGTGAAAAAAGGAGAGGAAGTAGACTTCAGCGGGCGTCTGGTAGCGTAGCTTACCTCCTTACCATTCCACTAATTATAAATGTATGTACATGAGTGAACCATGTTAATTGTAATCTGGTTGTTGGCCACTTTACTTTGGATAATACGTACTAGCCTACTCTCCTCATCCAAAAATGCAATCTAATATCCATTTAATAAGTGGGGATGTATAGCACTTAAGTGTTTGGCTAGATTAGTTAAATTCCCAACAATTACGACGATGTGCACTTGTGTAATAAATAATTTAACGGTTTTGAACATTACTATATACTCGTACACATTTCTCAAGCAAAAATAATTTTTAATCTATTTTAAATTATTATTGTAACGATAAAAAGTTTATACAATGTGGGTGTATTTATAATTACTCAGTTAGTACTTAGTAGTTAGATCTCATGTATAAACAATTTTATTGTTTATTCTAAAATTATGGTCGGTTTTAAACAACAGTATTGAATATTGATATTTAATTGGTCTAAGTACATTTAAACAATATATAAAAAATAATATGGAAATTAAGATACAAACTATATTTATGGTTGATATAAATATAAGTAACTGTTTTTGTCGATGACAACAAAATACACAAAATCATAGTATAGATTTACTATAATTTAGTTAGCGTACTTACAAATTGACACATATGAAATATTATTATATAAGGGTTAACAATTAATTTAAAAAAGGCCGAACATTTAGTTTAAATCTAATAATTATTAATCTTAACAGATGTGATATGCATATGAGACCCACGAAAAGTTTTTAATGCTCCTAATGGATTTTTTAGTTTTTCAATACGTTTTCGATACTTATGAGTTATGACACTCATTTATGCACATGACGTTTGTGTTGGAAAACGATGCGTCGTCGATATGCCATATTATTGTATACATACTATATAATGTACCTACGCGTGTATTTTATCGATACTGTTCGACAACGATAAAGTTTGACAGATTACTCTATTGGACGGGTGATTAAAATACCTGTATCCTTTCTACTGAATTGTAATGCCGTAGATATAATTACGGTATTCGGGTTATTAGGTAAACATAAACAAGTTACATATCCATTCAATATAATCCACATTGACTTAAAACACATTTTAAAGATTGAATACATGAAATATATGATATATATTTTTTTTTAATGGATGTATTTATTGATTTTATTTGTAGGTTTATTGGTTTAAAAATACTCAAATGCATATGTTTCTATAACAGATTATGTAACCTTTTGAATTGATATTTTAACTAAATCAATTCATATGGTTTTAAGAATAAATTTATATAGATAACATAATTCCTATTGCATTTTTTTTTTTTTTTTTTTTTGTGGATTTTTTGTATCGTGCGTTTTTAATAATCCTCGAGACGAGCAAAATGATTAATATTTTAAACACTGATAAAAATTTAAGACTGCATGGATCTAAAATTTGATATTTTTTAAAAACGAATTTAGTTAAACACTTTTGAGATCACATATAAAAATATAAACATTTATGCTTAAATATGAATGATGTTTGCTTTTATCATCATGTGTCGCTCTCTGAACTCTTCAATTGAAGATCGGCGCTTTAAACAAACTGACGATTTATTATTTTCTATTCGTTATAATTATATTTTTCAATATCATATTATCTTAAATTGTATATATGCATAGGTACACGCATTTTTTCGACAGTTAATTATAATATTTGTTCGAATTTTGTTTTTACAGCCAAAGCTGCTGGCGTCGGTCTAGCCGTCCTGGTCGTCCTGCTCATATCGTCCATAGCATGTTACAGGTTTGTGTTGCCCGACACTAAAGATTCTGACCTCATACGATTGTAATCTATCATATTTGTTCGTGTGAAATTTTAGAATGCAAAAGAATAGCAAGGCGGCCGCAGATATAGAGTACCCGGCGTACGGTATCACTGGACCAAACAAAGATATGTCGCCTACGGGCGACCGGCGCTTGGCACAGTCCGCCCAAATGTATCACTATCAACATCAGAAACAACAGATTATAGCTATGGAAACGTGAGTAAAAATTCCATCACTGTAGGTATACAATTTTTGGCATTGCTGAGAATAAAACTTCTAACAAATAAAACGTATTTTGATTTTTTATGTAATACATGCTGCTTGAATAATGAATATTGTTAATAATACCTAGATTTTAATTACGAACATTGTTTTATTTAGCACACAGTTAATACGTTATGATATTTGTTTAAATATATTATATAGTTCAATAGCTTACAAATTATAGTAGAAATCGTTTAGTGCGTCGTCCGTTAACTCGCCATATTGGTCAATCGCACAAAATCTCAAGTTCAGTTGAACTTCTTATGTTTATTTAATCATTTTACAAAACCTATGTTGGTTAATTCAAACCAACTTTCTTACATCGAATACATCGCACCTTTTGATGGTATGAAATGTTTACTGTATATAATATGTTTAAATAATAATGAATTATATTTATGTAATATACGCGTAGTATAGACGAATACTTAATTGAAAATTAAATCAACGAAAACCTTCAATTTCACGAACTCTACTATAGTTTGTTCAAGCGTAAAACCAACTGAATAAATTTAAAACTAATGAATTAGTCTAATGATTTATTTATAACATTTTGAAAACATAATTATTTCGTTATTGATTTCAAATAATATCAATGCAAGCAAAAAAAAAAAAAATAAATAAATAAAACACAAAAATTAGTATTTTTCTAATAAAAATATAATGTCTGCGAGATGAAAAACAAAAATGTATTAGTTTTTTTTATTGTTTTGTCAAATATTCCATACAGTTCGTTATCACAATAACACTCGGAAATGTGATCATATCACGAGTCAAAAACCTACGAATAAAATAATACTATGATTAATATGAAAAAATCGTTTACTCCGCAGGAACAGTACGGTCAAAGAAGGTCGATGCGGTTCAGTCAGCGATCCGGACAGCGATGATGATAACGAGGAAGGCGATTACACAGTTTACGAATGTCCGGGATTGGCACCAGTACGTTATTTTTTTTAGTACAGTTATCTAGAAAAAACGTAATTGAATGTATTTTAATATTATATACTATAATCTGTTGTTGATCATTGAACTTACGATATTTTTGAATAAAATATACATGACGGTTGTACGCATTCGTGTTTCAGGCAGGAGAAATGGAAGTGAAAAATCCACTGTTCCTAGATGACAACACGCCGGCGTCTCCCAACCCTGTTTTAACTAGTAAAGACAATATTTCCGGAAATGGTGTCATACCAACAGTGCCCGTCCCATAATAGATAACTAACCACCTACCACGCTATAAAACATTTGTCTATAGATACAAAATCAACACTATTTTTTTTTAATTTTTTTTTTTTTTTTTATCTCATTACTTTATTATAACCTATTTATTTAAATTTTTGTTTCTTTGCCATATATGATAATATTAGCATATTTATGTATAAATATATATATAATATATATATATATATATTATATACATAAATCAAAACAATTTACTGTGTGGAATGGATGGATATAAAAGGACATAATAATATTACATAATATGGAACTGGGACCATGCATGCGTAATTCTGCAGAACGCGCATGATTTCTAACGCGGCCACTGACTGAATTCGTGGAAAAGGCCCCCGAAAAAAAATTTTGGAATTTTTACTATTTATTTTACGTTACTCCTTACCCTTCCCAACCACTCTACATCGTCGATATTCACAATGTTCTTTAATCGAACATTCTTAAAAAATGGAAAAGAATTGGTCGTAGGGTGTACAACAAACGGAATACTATGCCAGTGTAACGTCAAAGTTACTACTCCTTAAAACTGACAATGTTTTGAACGATACATTTTAACATACATCGCTGACTATAATTAGTGTACATTCGTCTAGTAGATACGTAACTAAAATTTAAACACGGAAATATTTCGTCAATTCGATATATTATCAAATTCACTATTGCAAACGTTTGAAACAATATTGTTTTGTATTTTTCAGAATATCCGAAATCTCTTATCATATGTGACAATAGTGAGTTATTTTTTGTTATTTTTTATTTAATCAAAAAAAAAAAAAAAAATTTAGTAGGTACATAACGCGATTTGTCTAAAAATCGATGAGCTTAAAATGACCTCTGAAAACCATTATTTATTTTGCTACAGTTTTAAAAGTATTAAATACTTTTTTACGAAAAACGTATACAATATTTTGACAAACAATTATCTGGAAAAATATGTAATCAATTAAACACGTATCCTATTCCTGATTTTATGTAATATTTATCACAGGTCCGTGTCTTTCATGATACTCCACACTAAATAAGCGATATTCTCTTTTACATTTTCAAATGGGTTTTATTACAATATAACCAATAAAAGTAGTAAATATTTCACGGGACAAGATTATAAGATGTTTAAATTTTACAAATTGTTTAATCTCGTAATATATATATATATATATATTATATACATCACAAGCACGTAAATACTCTGCATGCGAATATATTTATATCCTGTTTGGAAATACTGTTTTAAATATATTATATAATATACACATATTATAAAAATCATATTTTAACCGTTGACAACATATTTTAAATGTCTAATTATTTTGTTATTATATTATTTTGTTCGTACAATAGAATACGTTAGTTTTAGTACCAATGTTAATTAATATTAGTCAATTCATTATTGTTTTTATTTTAAAGTCTTCCAAATGTACTAGACCACTCAAACTCTTCCGCTCGATATGTTTATAGTGATATTACACATAAATATTATAATACATAGGTCAATGCTATACTATATACATAAATATGTATATAATAATATATATTAGATATAAACTATAAATAGGTCCATTGTTAAAAAATATTTTTGAGCAGATTTTTTACGTGAACAATTATTATTCGTTCAAACAAGAGTTTTATAATGATGTAGGTAAAATTAAATTATTATATTATATCATTTATAAATATATATATATATATATATATATATCTAATGATAGATAGCATGTAATTTTATTTGTGTATGAAATTGGGTGAAACCAATAAGTTGTGATAGAAAAGGGCCCAGGTAAAATTGTTTAGAATAAAATATGTTGTCTTACGATGAGAAAGTATTTATATACCTCTATTTAGACAATTGGTCCTTTTTTTTGCAGATTGACGACTCGCAAAAAAAAAAAAAACAACATTTAAAAATAAACTCAAGTTTGGATACCTGTTTTAATATTGAAAACGTTTGTTATGTCTTAATTCCATTTTTATATTTCAAATCTACTGAGAGAAAATAATTAAAATATAACTTTAAAACGTGTAGGTTTACTGAAATCTTATCTCAGCTTTATCGCGGTCGTCAAATTGCCGAATAGAAATTACTAGAAAATCAAGATATGAATAATATATACACAACCGTGATAGACTTACGATGTACAACAATAATTCAAGTTGTAAATTTAAAAATTTCAAACGTATCGAGCGAGATAGTTTTAGATTATATGATATTATACCATAGTATAATGTATAAGTAATCGTACGACTTACTTTATTGCCCAGGTATTTAAATTTGAAGTGGTTGTCAATTCAAATGTTTTGGAAACCCTATCAATTAACATGCTAAATAATTTGTAAGTTAAGCTAAGTCAATTTATTTATGGTAATTCGTAATATATATAATATATATATATATTTCATCATGATTATAATTATTATTATCATTGCAGGTATACTATTAATATTATATTGTTAACAGAGTTTGAAATATTTTAACTAAAAGGAAAATCTATCAAATACACCATTATCATTACTGTAATAAATATTTGTTTTGTGTATTTATTTTGATCGTACATACACCACTATACCTATATCATACAGTGCGCAGGCGTAGTACAATTATATTTGCCTGCAAAACTTCAAAAGTAAGTTGTATACACACCTGTTGGCTGTTACCTGTCAAGTGCGACAGTGCATGTAAATAATAGTATAAACATTTGATATACCTACACATCAGTATGAAATTTACGCGGGTATTATATTCCTTACTTCCGATCCCGTGTTCCTATTCATGAATTGATAACTAAACTCAAAATATAATATAATTACGCATACAATACAGTGCGTGTCAATAAAAATGTACATACAAACCGATAGTGTATTTTCACACTGGTTCAAAAAATTAAAACACCAGATGTTTAATGGATATCGTTCTCCGATCTAATCCTTTGTCGGCGGCGGGCCGCTATGTATAATAAAGAGCGGCTCGCGGATGTGTGTCTCCAATACAGACAAATAAACGTATATTTGTATAATATGGGATGAAAAAAAAATTAAAGATTCTAAATGTGAAGTAATGCACATTTATCGGTGGTGGCATGAAAAAAAAAAGACGAAAAATATATTATAATAAGTGCTTAATATATTGCTTAATGTTTTTAATACATTATTTTATTTAATGGAAATTTTCCAATGGACTTTGATTCTGTTTATTTTTCAATCATCTGCATTGTACCGTAGACTGCAATAATGAATAGATTGATTGAATAATAGTATACCGACGAAATAATCTCGTACAATACCGTACATATCTACGATATTAGTTTTAGTTTTAAATAACTCCATGTGTAGAGTAGGTAAGTTTTGAAATGCCTATCAAATATGAAAAAAATCTACAATATCTGTTCCGAATATAATGTATTAATGCACTTAGTCACCGCTTTCAAAATATTTGCCGTTTCAACTTTCTCGTAAATATTACTATACTACAGCTGTAGACAGCATTTACGTGTAAGAGTTCAAAGTATACAAAGTGTTTCACAATAACATATCGGTGTTTAAATGTGTTTTGCATAATGTATTTTTTCTTAAGTATGACTTTTGAATTTGTGTAAATGCTAAGAAATCATATTTTCAAGTACTTCTGATTTAATGAAAATTAAATGTCTATAGTATATAAGTAAATATATAATATAGGTAGATCCAGTAAAAAGTCTGGTAGTACCGTATTCTCTTATATTATAGTTATATTATATGTTTTAAAAATTATAAGATTTTTGTAAATTGATATAAATTTCAAATCATTGTATCCCAAGATCTGATAAACCTATTATATTGGACTATAATATTATCCACAGTATTGAAAGTTAAGTTTGATTCGGGGTATCAAGATTCAAAAAAATCATCTATTTAACAGTTTATAGTAAAAAAAGCGATTTAAAAGAAATTTCGTAGCTACAACTCACGAGAAACTGCTCTCAAATGGTAAAAAATGTATAAACCAATTCCAAATATAGTTTTTGATCAAACTTGCTTAAAAATTCCAAAAACCATAATTTGTATTGGAGCATTACTAAAAGAAAAAATAGAGATGTGCATTATTGCCAATTGGTGAATCATCACGTATATATTTTATACTAAATTTAATATTTGACTTCTTTACTTCAGGATATATAAAATGTAGTATACAAGCGAGATTATCGACTATCGACTACTGCCCACAAGTCCACACACACCACGTTTCGACGGGTATTAAAATAGTAAATAATTCGCGTAAACGGGGCAAAATGTTTCGCTGTGATATCTCCCTAAAGTGGGCGTGATATGTGCTCATGAATCGGTCAAATAGAAAACGCGTTAGGTGATGACGTCGGCTGAAATCGATCGAATATGTATAAAGGATGTTACATGGACGTGAATCAATAATACGGCCTATGAACATTACAGGTATGGACATTATTTAACAGATATTATTAATGCGATAAATAAAGGTAATAATAACTAACGTAACTAATTAATGATGGCAACGAAATCGAAGTTTGAAATATTATAGTGTATAGGTACCTAATTTTAGTAATTATTAGTTGGTACCATATAGTATAATAATACCCACTGTTTATGAATGAAATGCAGAATCTAACTTTTTTTATTCACAGTTTTGCAAAACTACATTTCATTCATAATATTATGATCATCGTAAAGCGTAAATAACTAACACTATGTCCCTGCGTATACGGTAAAGTCAAGCTTATATCCGGATAATCTGTTAACCCAAGTCGGTGTTAATTTTTAAACCTATTGTAATTTCAATTGTACATGCATATTTATTTTTCGTTTTTACATTTCATATAAATCAATACATTATAATTCCACTAGCAATTCAACGATTTAAACTGTTTTGAGTATCTAAAACTAGTATTAAATTAATGTTTTAAAGCCGATATCATTTAAATCCGGACTTCATGTGACCCGGACAGGGTCCGGTCTATTATAAGTAAAGTCCAGATTAATAAGACTCTATCGTATCACATATTATCACCTGAAGAAAAAAAGACTTGTGTCAATGTCAAATAAATTAGACTCGGAATGCAAAGTTAGTTCATTTAAAAAAATAAATTGTCACGACAGTGATAGAGTAGTTGTGTTATCGCAGATCTCTTATTGACGTAAAGATAAAACTATACATCAATAGAAATAAGAATCAATAATACTTGTTTAGATTCTAAAAAATTTAATCTTTAAACTTTGAACTTAAGATGTTAAACAATTATTATGCAATATGATGAAAAATAAGATAAATTTTAACACTTGATTACACTTGAATAAATTACATAAATTAATTCTTGTAAACTATAGAGTATAGAGTAAGTATAGAATAGGTATATATGAAGTCATAAAGATTATAAGATATAATTACTATAGTTAAAACAACATATTTTACACGTGATACAATTTCCAGTTGTTTGTGTTATATTATGGTACAAATAATTATAATTAACAAATAATAACGTGTTAAATATTAAATTTTAAATTCTGAGTAGATCTATAAATGTATTAGTTTTACAATGATGTTTTTTTTTTTTTTTTAGTACCTGAAATCACCATTCGGCCATTCGGGTTAGTGAAAATGATTAAATATTAAACTTTGAGAGGTCTCTTGGTAACAAATTCTAATTGGTAATTTGAGAATCAACAATTCCAAAACTTTTCAAATTAGTTAGGAAAAAAAAATAAGAACAAAAAGAAATTCTTAAGCGAAATTGATATTGTTTTTTTTTTTTTGTGAGATTTAAAAATAAATAACTATAGAACAATAAAAATTCATACAAACATAATTTACTATTTACTAAATGTAGATATACAATATCAATGTATCACTTAAAAATATTTTTCCTGTTTTTAACCTAATTTGGTATATATATTTTTGACATTTTTAGTTTTTTCTTTTAATTTACGTATTATAAAATTTTGTTTTTGAGTAGGATAAAACTTGAAAAAGGTTCCTCATATATTGTTTACATCCCAATTAATTATTTGTTTTTTAATAAGCGTTTAAATTTAAAAGTTTTACAAAATTTATCAAAAACACGAAAATTTCAAAATTATCATATATTTAAATATTTTTAAAGCTCGAAAATTAATTACTAGATTCCTCATATATTATTGTGTTACTGCTAATAATTAAAAAGTCGCAATTATCTTTTATGAGCCACTGAAGTTCAAATTTTGATAATATTTGATTTTCAAATGTTTACGATAATGAGTTATTCACTATATCAATTATTTAGATTTTGAACGGAACGATGATTGTATTAATTTTACAATGATGCGTTTTTTATTTGTAAGTACACACGATGAGCTGTTGATATAATGCTTCAATTTTTAACTTAAACAGTGGTTTTAAATAGGAAATAAGATTTAGTTTGTAATTTAAAAATGTCAAAATTAAAAATTCTGAGCACTTTTTTTATTATCATGAAAAACAAACAAAAAAATTAAGAAAAACAAATATTTTTACGTTAAGCCAGATTTTTAACTAAATTGATTTCTAAATTACTCGTATTTATTATTATTTAAAAAAAAAACCACAAAACCTTGAAATTTTCATGAATTATTTATATTGTTATTTTCTATGTAGCGTATAATATTTAAAATATTTTGAATTTTTCTAAAATATTCATAGACAATTGAAATTTTCAATTTTTTTTTTTTTTTTTTTATTAATGTTAATTAAAAATGTATGAATGAAAAAAATGCTTAAAAATTTAATACAAAGTTCTTATAAGTGAATCATTTCCCATTTAAAAATTATTGAACATTTAGAGTCACAACATTTTTTTTTATGAGTATTTAAGTTTTATTACCTCATAGTTTTGAAAATTAAATATGAGATTTCTCTTAAATAGTTATTATAAAATCGTAAAATCTAAAAAGTGTATACATATATATATATATATATATATAAATTCAATTATTTTTAATAGACATTTTAAGTTCAAGTTCAATCGAAATTACTTATTTAAAACATCAATAGTAATGTAAATTATTTAGTTATAATGTAAAAATATTTTTTGTGGGAACTTAAAACTTATAACTTACATGTTTTATATGTTCATGAAATTTATTATACCCATTGATATTTTTGATTTACTTAAAGATATTATTAATCTATACTATAAACCTATTTTTATTCTATTACGGTATTTAGATAAATTCAATTTTTAACAAGAAGTTACAATATTATATTATTTTATAATAACGCAACGCTAAACAATTAAAAAATATATTAATTAAAATTTTTTAAACTGACAAATTTTGTTGATTTAGATATTAATTGTCTTACTAAAAACCTGAAATAGCTATCTGATTAACGTCAAATACCCCCAAAATATATATCGTTGTAAATAAAATACATATTGTCGTAAAATTAAATCCATTTTAATTTATCTTACAGATATCTAGACACTTTTTTTTATATTTTTTTATTTTGGCACAGAAAAACGTAAAAACAGTTCGATAGTTTTGGCACAAGACAAAACCAAGCAACTGTACTTACACTGTACGTGATCATGCAGTCTGTGCACATTATATATTTCAAAAAATGTCAGCAATCGTGGCAATAAATATTATTTGTATGTACACTGTTTCATTTATAGTTGTTTTAAATTTATTTTTTGACAATAGGTACTGCAGGTGGTTTAGTAATACAGTATAAATAATAAATATATTTGTTGTGTATCTGACTAATGAATAAATAATAGTCAAATATAGATAATAATTTTTTATTATTATTATTATTATTATTTATATGAATATGATATTCCTGTATACCTAACAAAGTATTCAATTAAAGTGAAAATAGATTTATAATTACTACTAAAAATTTTGTTACAGTTTTTTTCTAAAAACTGTTATAGTTTCAATTCGTTCATTCCTGCTTTGTACTAAAAGTCATTGAGTGGGCGTCAGAGCTTTATATTAAGAAATAATAAAAAAATAAACAAATTCCACGGGTTATTATTAAAAAAATATAAATAAAATATATTTATACGATCATTAGGTATCGTCCAATTTTGATTTATTCGTGATTTTTCAATTCAAGTTTTCAAATCAATTTAACGACACATTAAAATCGTGTACTATACCCGCAAAGCTAAACATATCATGGGTTTTTATTTAAGTTATTTTCAAAATATTATTAAATACGACAATACTATTTGAGTCTGGTTTACTCTTTTATTGAATATTTTATAGGTGAAGGTATCCCAAAATATATTGGTACATTGCATAGGTTTGTTTATTTTATTTATTATTTATAGTCTACAGTGAAACAGACGGACAAATATGTGTAGTATTATGTTGATGTACATAATATTGCATTAAATATTTACACATGTAAGTTTAAGTTGGATAACGATATAGACTCAATAGAGATAACTTACTCGTATATATTTACGAAAACGTTCTACATTTATGATATTATTGTAACATTGAAATATGACGTGTACTCAGTAAATAAAAAATCGATCCACATTTTTTTCTATGATGAAATGTTTTTCACGTTAGACGTTACGAGCTTTGCATCAATGCCGAGGGATTTCTATCGATTCTGCCTGGCTTTTTTTTTCTAATAGAGAAAAGGGTTCATCGATTCCGCCAGTATTGGTTTTATTGTTTTGGGTTATTATTTCCAAAACTTAAATGTTTCACATTCCATCATTATAGTTACTTAAAACAACATGTTTAGAAAAGAACAATCATATAATTATAATTATTCTATTGGCATGTATTATCTAAAAGAAAACATTTTTTTACTTTAAAAAATAATTAATTAGTTGTCCATGTATAGTGATATTACTGGTAAAATAGATAAATAACCGATTGCGATACTGAACGCACTAGGTACTGAGAGTATCTATATATAAAAACCACATACACCCACCACCGTTTATAAAATTATATTTTTAGTGAATGTAAAAATGTTAAATAAAAATAATAAAAGTTTGATTATTCATAACGCATATTATATATATTTATTTCTTATTTTGCTTTCTCGGTCGTTTCTTCCGGGGGCGATTTTAATTTTAATTTATGTATTTATTTTTTTTTTTTGTTTTATATAAAATTAAAGGATACGAAATCGGTACGAATTCTTTGACTCTGGGCCATGTTTACACGAAGGGATTCTGTTTATGTTTCAGATGCATTTTATTGTCTAGAAGTTCGATGTAGGTACGCGCGCGCGCGAACACACACGCACACACACACACACACATACACGTGTTGGGAGAGGAAAAGTGTTGTAAACTATTAAACACGAGGCGCGCGCAGGGAAACACATACAACACTCGCTCGTTAACACATGTTCAGCAAAATCGGCGTTTCTGACGAAAAAAAAAAGTAATAATAAAAATAAAACGATTTTTTGTGTATTTCAAAAGTCCGCATGACATGGTAATGTATAATAATATAATATATCATGTATATATTATATTGTACAAGTGTGTTTTTCTGAGTACCACACATATGGGTACGGGTGGTCCGTTTGAGGATCTACGAATATTCAATACCTACCGCGTTTACCGTCTTGAACGTTTTAACCTTTTTTTTTTAATTTCCACCTCCCGTCTTTAACGATCTGCTCCTTGTATGTAGGTACATCATATCACGGTGATTAATGCGTAGGAGATTTGTCGCGAAAAACCAAAAAAAATACACACTTTAAAAACACTATTTATAATGTCTATAGAGTACACAGCGAGTACGTTATAATACTATGTATTATATAATATTTATACACTTTCTAAAATAATGATTTCTGCGCGTAATGATTTATTTCTAAACAAAATAGTTTTAATAGTACCTACTTAAAATAATCGTTTAACTATTTACATAATGTACATGTGATACACATTGATTTAAATTTACTATATTCAGCCTTTTATTCAATACGAAATATCGAACATTCACGTTTTGTCGATATAATTTAATAATTATGTAGAAAGAGACTAGAGATGACGTTTGATATTTGTATTCGCACAACTGATGGTTGGACCAATTATAATATTATTTACAAAATGTAAAAAAAAAAAAATTATATATTAATAAATAAATTATATACATCACACTTTAATCTAAAAAAATAAAACTTCACGACATGTATCTAACTAAAACAAAGTAATAATGTTGTTGTACACAATATACTAAGTAATTAAATTTATTGTTGTTATCCTTAATTTAATATGACATTTTATTTTATATCCGCTGGAAGTTTATTTCGCTAATATATGTTTGAATTATAATGGTGAAAACTTTTCTCCAAAGGATAAACTAAGAAATATGTTCGTTGTCTCAAAACATTTTTTTAAAGAAAAAAAATAATACTATCCCAAATGAATTTAAAATATTTTTATTTCGCACTTTTATAATATTATATATTGTACTGAACTAAAAATACTCATAACTTACTCCTCGCGCTGAAGCCAGTTATAAAATGTTTTATGAATGCTTCATGAGAATTTCCGGGTAATCATAATATTCAGATTAAAGATAAAATATTCGAATATTCATTTATAGTTGTGAAAGACATATTATTGAAAGGAATCATGCGATAACCTATATAATGCTTCAATATACGGATTTGGCTTTCCATCCATTTTAATATTAACGACGAATGTTATAATATATATTTCGCGATGTACGATAAAATCAAATATACATTTAGCAAAAATATAACTTATTCTACATTTATACACAAAAGAACATTATACCCGATTTGAGTGGTATTTACAGTTTTTAATATGTTACTGTATTTATATATACGTTTAATATTTTTTTTTAAACACGACATTTCAATATATACGCGATACACACCATATACATATGTACACAAACTGTGACAGCTTAACAAAATTTCGGACAGTCATAATAATGGTGGAGACTTATGTGTTGTGGTAATCCGCTACTGGCATTCATAGCGTTGTCCATGACGGTCTGTTGTGTCTGGCCGGCCGCAGTCGCTGATCTTCTCGCGACCGTGCTATAACCTAAAATGAATTGATTTAATAATAATAATAAGATTAATAGGTGTTCGATAAAATAACAGATTAACGTCGCCGTCGTCATCAGACGCTAGACGACTAAAAATATGATATTATAATGGCTGGCGTCTGCGAGCGCATATACATTTTTCACACCCACTTGGCCACTTGTACCTTTTTGACTTTTAGCCAATGTGTGGCGAAATTGACACGTCTAACTAAGAAGGAAAAAATATGTCATCGTATTTCACAGTCAACAAGTGGTTTTGTTTTAAATTATATATATTATATATTTTGACAAGGCCACGTGCGTTTCGGAGGACCTACGCGGTCGGTGACGAAACCTCTTGACCTTGCATACGAAAATAATTAAATACCTCGATGTATATAATGCGACTCTATACATGGTGCAAAACACTCGTCGTCATCTTGCACCCAACTCTGCACATTATATTATTATTATTATTATTATTATTAAATACTTTCGACTCTCGCTCCCTGTGACACCGTGTATGTCTGATGTATATAAATATAATATATGGATAATGGTGGCCATTATACACTGTAGCACACACGTCAACACTGCAGTGCTCACCCGAGGGGGTAACCCACACAATTAGACATTGCGGTCGTCTAAATGCGTGGAGGTCAAAGGGATCGTATCGTACACAATAATAATATGTAGGTCAGAATAAAAAATATTATATCAATACGCATAAAAAACACGGTTTGACCCATTTATGTTAAGTATATTATATTATGTTATATTATTATAATAAGACAACGAGGTTTTCTTTTTATACGACACTATTTCTCAGTCACAGCACACTGTTTATTGCCAACATGTGATATAAAATTGGTCCACGGGGGTTTATTTTTTATTTTTTATGAATGCACAACGAGACGCGTTTAAACGATGCGTGCTGGCGACCTAAACACTGTTCGTAAACAACTAAAACCGCCATGTCGTACGTTCTAAACGATATGCACACAAAGATTGCGTTTGTTTCACTTTTTGAAATCGTCGGACTATAATAATATGTCTGTGTACATGTATAGATAGATATTAACGTCATGTTTAAAATTCGGCCCCACGAATACTCAGTAAATCTGTATTGACAAAAGCCACATCGATACCATTATTTATTACTCTGACTAGTAGAAATAATGATTTATTTATCGAAGAAAAAAATAAAATAAAAAGAGAATGAAAATTCGTTAACCGTGACATTTTTGAGTAGAAGATTTGAAAAAAAAAAAAACCATCGTCCTGAAAGTATATTATAAAATATTATGACGATTTTTAGATACTCTCGTACACCGCATAGTTCGGAGATTCCAACAAAACCATCACTATTGTTTTAAGAGTGTTATAGGTACGCGTAATGACACGAAGATGATAACTATATTAGCGTGGTGATTTTATTATTTTAATTCACGCGCTCGTGTTGTTTTATTATTATTGCTCCGTTGCGTTTGGTTAGTGTCTACCCGTAGCTTACGGTTTTCTGCGCGGCAATAACAATAACGATAAATATTCGAATTATCCATGCCACTTGGTTTCAATATCACAAGTATTATTATAGTGCGGCTGTGACTATGGTGCATACGACGCTTGAGGATTATTGTGTTAGCAGCTCGTAATAACCATTAGGTCCGTTTTGTCCGTGTGCACCAACGGTATCTCTATATTATAGCGTTAAAGTTTTAATTCAAATCATTTGTATTAATGTTCGTGGTCAGTTGAGCGTACTTAGTACGTACCTTACGTAGGATTACGTTTTTATTTTTAATTTGGGCAATACAGGGCTTTTTTTCGGTAAAAGATTTGGTCGGGTAAAATTACTGTTTCGTTTGTGCGGTGGCTAATTGTAAAATAATAATAATGTTAACAATTTTTCGTTCATTTTAGTCTTAGAGAATTAGAAAAACATTAGCTGCTTTCATCAAAAACAATAAGAGTAATTTTATCTTTAAACTTTACGACTCCTTTATAGCGGGACCGAAGTCCAATTTATAAAATATATAAAATACGAGTATATTCGTGTTATTAAATTATTTCTATATTAACGACGTCTAATGGAAAATTTCTAAAAGCTTAATCTGGAAAAGCAGTTTCTTTTAGATAATAAATTTAAGATACTTTTATAATCGAATACATTTATAATACTTTAAAGAGTTCATTTTAAAATTCAGCATTTTTTTTTTTTTTTAATTAGAAAATCTCATAAATCATTAAAGTATGTTATTTGGCAAGCGATCCGAGTAAACCAATCTCAGATTCGTTTTTAAATGGTTTTTAACTGCAGTTGAATGCAGTTGAACTGCACCTGTCCAAATGTTTTGCATTTTGTTGTTGTAAACTATTTATACAGAAAGACATTTATAGTCAACACATATAATATTCCATCGTATGGTATTGATTATTTTTTAATTTTTATAAAAAATAATTATTTTATTACGTCAGAATAAATGATAATTGTTATTATAATTAATAGTTTTGAGTGATGAAAAGGATCCGAAGTCAATGCAGTAAATTATTCGCTCAGCTTCCATTACATTTGAACACACTGCGCCTATTATAAGTATAGGTACTTGACATATTTCAAATGTAATAAAAATTTAAAATTAAATAAATATTCTTACCAAAGAATACATTTTAATTTGTTTTTTTCTTACTATTTCATACAGCAAAAAAATATTTAATAAAACTTTTAATTTTTAGATATACAAATTGTATAGCCTTTGTCGTAATATTAAGAATAAATCTTTTGATTTTATTATTATTTTATATAGATTAAGATTCCAAACGTATAATATTTTTTTTTCAATAACGATATATATAATATATTAAAGTAATTAATACTACAATGTAATTAGTAATAATTTTCATACATACACATACACCGTATTTTATTATTATTTTTAAAAAAAATATTAAGAAAATAGGATAACTAAACGATTGATCTCAGTTATTATCATATAAATTTATTATTCACGTAGTACTATTATAAATTCTTATTATACATTTTGGTCACAAATGTTTTATTGGGTTTTTTTTACTTATAAGTTACTAAAAATGTGTACCTAGGTAATTTATAAATAAAATCGATTAAACTTAATTGTGTATATTATACTTATAAACATAAATTACTTAAACGTTGACGAATTGTTAGTCATATCTGATTTATGAAATGACAACATAATTTTGGAATTAAAATATTAACAGACATTATTTATGAGTTTATGATAATATAGTAATAGTATAATATTATAAATAAATATACAAAAGCAGTAGTGTAACAAAAAAACTCAGATAATTTACAGTGAGACTAATATTCTCGAATTAATTATTCAGATTTTCACGTAATGCATTTATTAAAAATATAAAACAAGAAAATATTTCGCTTAGTATAAAAATAATTCTTAAATTTAAAAAACTACAAATATAATTAAAAACCTAGTTTAAAAAAGTTGAAAAGCTTAGTTTTTCATTTTTGAAGATCAATTTTAAAATTTAAATTGTTGTTTATTACCTATTAAAATTATTATATTCTTTACATTTATTATGCTTTACTTATTCATTTTATAATTAAATCTTTCAATATATAATTATACATTTGGTTTCTTTTAATTTTTTTCTGTGAGTTGAAATATTTTATGAAAACAGTTATAATTCATAAAAATGTTAAAAATATATTCTATTATACGTAGTATTTCATAACTTATAGACACATCGCACACATGCAATATTATAATGACATAGATTATTAAGCACTTGAGTATAGCAAGGGATATATATTTTATCCATAATATGGAGGATTGTTCAATAGGATCATTGACATAAAATGCACCACACATATTATGTGTAACATGATATGTGTAATGCAAAAAAAAACCTTTTACAACCAGACATAGTTTATTGGGTTAAAACCTAAAATCGAAATAATCAAAACGCTCGATGGGCAAATTTTTGTTTTTAGGACTGTGGTATGACACAGCCGGCAGGTGATACTATATACAGTTCTAATTAATTTGTTATTGCTCTCTTGACTATTAACCTACACCCCGTGAGTGGTCAAACACTCCAGTCATCGCACATTACAACAAACTTTCTCGCATATTTATTGTCGACGTGTCTTTTTTACTCAACCACTCGCACAAATATTAAGTAGGTATACATGTATAATATAATCGATTTAACGACCTCTATAAAGTATTTGATCGCACTCTTTAACACTGAACAGTTTAGGTGTACGTATAGCTATGACTAAATATAAATAACAAATAGGTTTTAATTATAAAAACAAAATAGGTACTCACCATTATCGTGAGTCAAGTTATACTGGCAACCGTAATCAAACTGTTCTTGGTAACCTCCTGTGCCGCCGACGTAACCGTCAGACTTTTGACTTTGCCAAAAGTTTGCCGCAAAATGGTCCAACTGATCGTTCCTGCTGCAGTACCCTCCACCGCTGTTAATGCCAATTCCTCCACCGCCTGTACCACTACTGTAGTCCTGTTGCTGCTGTTGCTGGTGGTGGTATCCCGCGACCACCGAGGTTGTTGCGTCCTTGTAATCGTATTGGTCATGCAGGTAACAAGCCGCTGATTGTGACTGTGATTGCGATTGTTGCGAATGTGATTGAGTGGTGACTGATTGCAGTTGCTGCTGCTGCTGTGGAGGTTGTGGTGGCTGTGGAGGTGGCAGAATTGGTGACGATTGCGTCTGTGGCAACGACTGCGGTTGCTGCTGTTGGACGGCCGGAAGATGATGATGCTGTTGTTGTTGTTGCAGTTGTAGGTTCTGGTGATGATGATGATGGTGGAGGTGCTGATGGTACTGTGACGTTTGGTAACTACTACCGACGCCACCAATCGGTCCAACAGTCTTCTGTTGGCACTTGCGACGGAATCCCCGGGGTCTTCGTCTGAATGAGCTCTCTTCGAACATCAACTCCGACGCTGGATCCACTGTCCAGTAGTGACCTTTTCCCGGACGTCCCAGCCCTTTTGGCAACTTGATAAAACATTCGTTTAGTGATAAATTGTGCCGCACTGAATTTTTCCATCCCTGTGAAAAACTATTCATTTTACTACATAGATCAATATATTATAATTTAATTAATAATGTATGCGCACATGTAAATGACGTGTATTTAATTGCCCAATATATTATAATTATATTCAGTATACAACACATGTAGATATATATCATTTATTGTATTACTAATATCAAATATAATATTTTCACTTACGTATTTGTTTTACATAATACGATCCATGCAACATAGCATTTGTGGTGCATATAAGGGGAGAGATGATTCAGAAAGGATAAAAATAAATATTCAACTATAAAATGTTATGATTTATTATGTAATAATTTAAATTAAATTTTTAAATTATTATTAGGGCAATTTTTGATTTTGGGTTTTTTCGAGACGCACATATTAAATCTAAGTAGACCTCCGCGTGAGTGTGATCAATATATACATCGTTTCATTAAAAGGAGACAATATGTATGCTAAAATATTTACACTAAATACGGAAAATTACTTATATATATATTTATTTGAACTTAAAAATATTTATACATAATTATGTGTGCGAAAATATAAGTATATTATTATGAAAACAATTGAATTATACATAGAATTTTTTAGTTTTTATGATAGGTTTAAATTGGGCATGATATAATATAATTATCAGTGGTCGGAACTGTTGGGAATCATCACTCGGTTTAGATGTGTTTTTACCTAACTTAATTTAACTGCGCTATACGATTATTTAATTCATAATAGAATAATACAAATTAAAAAATATCACTATACTCGTATAATCATATCACAACTTTTATGAAAATTTAATAGAGCGCATCAAAATACACTGTATTGTTATTCAGTTATTAATCATAATACATTATGTAAATAATAGGTACTAGTGACTAGTGAGTAAAATCTTAAGCGAAACTGATAACCTGAAGTATCCAATGTCCATAAAATCGACACATATAGCAGGTACATAATTCGTTGGGATATATTGTGATTACATTTTTTTAAATTTTAAATGAATTTTATTTATTTATTTTGGGATTATTAAAAAATATATATATATATATATATGATATAAAATACAAATTATAAACTGTAAATTCTTGTAAAAATTAAATTTCAAAGTATTAAAATTAAAATTTGCGCTATTTACAATAGAAAATTTTGAAGAAGTTTTACTGCTAATAATTAGTAATTACTGAAATAACACTGTATTATATATCTACATTGTTTTAAAAACAAACAAAATAAATATAAAAAAAAAGTGTTATTATAGTGCTGCTACAACAACTAGTATATTATTTCTAAGTTCCAACCATTAATAATAATTATTAAATGGCCATATGTCACGCAGGTACATAGCCAACCAAACGCAAAAAAAACAAAAGTTGATATTATATAATTAAAAATTAAAATCATATTGTTATATTTTCAAATAGAGATATGAACCTTATAAAAACGTAGTAATCAATGTTAGAGTTTTATGTTCTTGTTTGGCTTGACATAAATAAAAAGTTTTACATCGTTTGATTACATAATATCATTAAAATCAATTGTTTTTAAAATCGCATTAATAAATCTTAAATATTTATCCTTAATTTTTTAATATAGTTTCGGTAAATTAAGTATTAAAAGCACACATTATAAATTTTCAATACAAAAGAAAAAATATGTTAACTCCACGAAAACAACTTAATATTTACCATTAGAAGTCTTGATAATTAAAAGTGAATGAATGCTGTACGAATATGACATAAAGTAGAAACATAAATATTTTTTATGACATAATTGTCGAATACCCTAAATTCACGAGAAAACTGAAACACACCTACTTTAATAGAAAAATTATTAATCAAATAGATAATATACTAATACTAATTTTGTGAGAGAATTACCTATAGTTACCTAACTTGTTCATAATATTAAACATTTTTTTTAAATAATTAATACAAAACTGACTATAAAGAAAAATTCATCCTAGGTGAATGAAATTGTTCCTTTTTAAACAATCATCTCATCTCGACTTTTGAAACTATAAACATTTCACATTACAATATTGTACTTATTCATGAGTAATTTACGTGTAATCCTTGGTCATAAGTAGGGCTTAGATTTTAAAGCAAATGCTTCTTTTTTCATGAATAAGATAGAAATCTAATTTTTATACATAAATTCGTTTCACATAATTATTCTAATTCCAAATAAACCAATTTATTTTTGCTTTTTTTATTGCTCTTTTTCAATTATTCCAGATGTGGAATTTTTTATGTTTATTATTCTATAATCATAAAAAAAAATTAATTTAACTTATTAATTATGTTCCAAGTTTTCACATTTCTTATTAAAAATGTGAAAACCTGGAGTACGGACTAAAATGATTGTCTTGAATTATTATTGTTTTCGTTATCGGCTTAATTGTTAAATGTATTAAACGTATATAGATTATGGATATAAAACATTCTATCAGATAACAGAGTTTCACTACTGCAAATCTTGCAAAATATAGGGTAGTTAATTCTTTTTTTAATTTAAATCAATTTTTCAATTTTATAAATTTATAACTAATTCATTTTTGATCATACCTTTTTTTTTTGCTTTTCTAAAACAATTTTGTGCTTTTTTTGTTATTTATTATGCTTTAAAATCAGAGCCCTAGTTATAAGTTATAATAAAATTATTTGTATCTACTTTATAGTGCCTTCTGCTAATTGTTTCTATTCAGTAACACGGCCAAAATTACTAACTCATAATAAGTACTAAACATTTTAATATTGTGTTAAATTCCGACAATGTTTATTATATTAGTTATTACCATTACATTATTATTTATGTTAAATATTAGTTATATTATAAGTATTAAGATCTATAGGTTCTATGAGAAGACTTCGTTAATCGTTATAATGATTACCACGATATGTTTATGGTTTATCATTAAAATATGGCATATTTTTAGCAGTACTGTAATTTGCTACCAATGTGAATTTTTTCTTAACCTTTACTCATAAAGGCATTTTGATGGGTCTAGTATGTACTAATAACTACCTGAAGTACATTTTAATTTAAATAAGTAAGGCAATAAAATAATATAATTTTAGTATACCTATTTAGTTTTTAATACCAATAAAATTAGTAAAATTTTATCACATTAGTCGTTAGTAGTTTATCCTGAATAAATATTTTGTTCATTAATTTGATCATTCCATCTGGTTCAATATTTATTAAGTTTTATGAAAATTTATTTTAGATAATAATAATGTAATTAATACATTATGTACCTATAGGTAGGTATATACAAACAGTGAAATTTTTTATCTAATTTAAACTAACTACATTTAACTACGATATTTAATATTTATATAACTGATCATAATTATTTATCATATTTTTAAATATTTTAAATTTTATATTAAATGTATATCATTAAAAAAAGAAACTATCAATATTCAAATATTATAATTGTGTTATTATGATCATGTTTTATGTTATATTTAGTAAGTATATAGATACATGTTGTCCGTTTATAATATAGGTACTAACAGTGAAGCACATATCAAGTCAACTAACTATATCGCAGCAAACAAAAACGTAGTAAGCAGAATTTTTAAAGATGTAACTATAATAATTGCCTGTTGGTTGTTTAAATGTGATTAAAATTTAAATTTTGAAAAAGTTACATATATCATTATTTTATAGTACCAATATATAATATCATACTTAGTATAGTAAAATCTATAAGAGTAAAATTATATTAAGTACAAAGTACAACATATTCATATGAATAAACGCCAATAGAATTTCAAGAATGAAATTGACCCAGAAAAAATAAAAGGATAAAATTATACCTAAGTTTAATTTATTTTTTTTAAATTGTTTTAAAGATTATCTTAAAATATCAATTAAAATATTAAAAAGTATTTATACAATTCATTTGAGCAAAAATAATATATTATAATTTTATGAGAATTTTTTTTCAGTTTTTTATTTTTCATAAATATTTCTTCATTTTTCATTTATTATCTATAGGTTTATACTATGACAAATTACTCCCGATTATACTGTACCATAAACAGCTACTGATATCATTTATATACCTATTTACATACCTGATATACTAATAACAATATTATTTATTTTAAAATATAGCTTAATACAAAGACTGCTTAAAATAAATTAACGAAGTTAACAATTAATATATTAATGTATAATTAGTTATAGTTAGTCAAGTATATGGGTGAATAATAGATTTTGATATTATACAAGTATAATACATATATGTATATATTTGTCTATAGTCAGTTATTTATTGTATTTTATACAACATAATGCATACAATTTGAAATTTTTGGAATTAAAATGTTTTAATATAAACATACCTACCCTAACATACCTAACCTACTATGAAAAAATAAGTACCTATATCTATTATATTTTTATAAATACATATTATATAGGTACCTACATGTTAAATCTACTTTTGTACTAAGTATACATACTGAATAGTGTATGCAATATGTACAATTGAACACATTATACCTACATAAAGTGAATAATAATAATAAAAAAGAAAATCAATGAATCATTGTCAAAAAGATAATTAATGTATATGTATTTTAATTATCTATATATATATATATTATATACCTACTAACTATTATTACTATTAAGTGTATGCACTATGCAAATAATATAATAACGATAGGTATATAATTCACGCCTATATGCATAATATTATATTATGTAGGACTTACCTATAGATGTACATCTCATGACATCAAATATTACCCCGTTATATACAATACTATACAGTCTTTATATTCAACATATTTATTTATTCATTCGTTTTATTTCACATTATTCTATTTATTTATTTTATCGTATTTTTTTTTTTTTTTTACTAAAACGGATTAATATTTTGACACCTAAGCGCAATATATGCGTTTTTATTATTTATACCTGTATGCTAACGTATACGACATACACTGTATACTTATGACATGAATAAATAAAGACCGAAGACACGCGCTACAGTTATATAGGTACGCCGTAGCGATTCTAATCATATCATGTTTAAACCCAGAATTTACTATGAAAAGCGCGTATTTACCTGGTAGGAACCTCTGAAGAAAGGGAATCTGTGCTGGAGGAAAGAGTATATTTCGCTCAACGTGAGCCTTTTCACCGGTGAACTCTGGATCGCCATGACGATTAGGGCTATGTACGAGTAAGGCGGTTTTTCGGACCTGCCGGTCCCGACACCGCCAGTCGCCGCCACCGTTTTCGCTGTCGTCCCGACACCGTTGTTCTTCTTGCAACTGTTATTGTTATTGTTGTTGATGTTGTTATTGTTGTTGTTATTGTTATTGCTGTTGCAGAGAGTTTTCCTCTCGTCATTTTCGTCCTCGGACTTAACGATCAACATATCCATGCCGTTATTTCGACGACGCTTGCGCTCGCGCGTTCGTCTCTTCTGTTATAAACTCGAGGTGAAGACGTGCACGACAATAATAATCGAAATAATTTTATTGTTAAAAAAAAAAAAAAAAACGAAGAATTTATATTAATGCAAATTTTTTTTTTTTTTTTAAACCAAAATTCAAAAAAAAAAAAAAAAAAAATACAAAACGGTAAATAGCAGCAATATTATAATATTATATTTAACGCACTCGTGTGTAATATACACAATATTAATATATTTACACCGAACGTTCACCGCAAACGTGTGTGCTGTACGGACCGTTGTTTACACCCGTCGTACACTAATCACGCATTACTAATGCAACCGGTTGGAGCGGTCGGGCGGACTGTCACCCCGGGCGGAGCGGCGGCTGGACCAGAGAGGAAAAAATGGGCAGGACGGTCGTCGGCCAATCCGTGACCACCGACGTTCCCGATAATGCGATAGTGGTACCGTAATAACAACGATGATAATGATTGTAGAGGGACACGCATGCAGCCTTCGACGACGCCGACACCTCGGCAAAGTGCCAACGCCGCGCGTAAATGCCGTACAACACCCATCGTGCTGTAATATATTATTATTTTGTCGTTTTCGTGAGTAAAAATCTAAAACGCCAAATAAATCATAATAACGCGTTGGGAATGCGTTAAAATCGCGCAGAAACGCGCGGTGTTATAACTATATACATCGATTGCAACAATACATATATCATGTCGTATATACGACTGATGACGAATTACACGCGTAAAGCTCCAAGCGTATACGCTCTTCGATTTGGCAATACCCGTGCGGAGTGCGCCGCGAGTGACGGCACTATGTGCATTTCAAAATAATCTACATGTATATAGTCATATAGACATATAGTCGTGTAGCCTGATATATAGGTACACACGCGTACCTAATATAATACAGTAATCGCGTGTGAATAATAGATATAATTATATATATATATATATAATCCGTAAACGATTCGATCGACGGTTTTATGGTGTTCGATGTGTGTATTATATTATTTATATTATAATTGATTGATTCCGATTGCAGTAATACTGTGTGGGCATAGTGAAATATGGCCTACACAACTACGCGCGTGTTAACACGTCAAAAATTGTACGGCGAAATATAGGAACAAACTGTAAACTGACCGTGGTATACTGTTGCAGCGTATAACTTTTTACTCGGAAAATAAATGGCGCAGTGTCGGGATATGAGCCCATTGCCTTATATAACTCGAATAAACGTCTGTAAAAATATAAATAATTAAGCGATTACGCCAAAAGCCAATTCAATTACAAGATTAGAGTAGTTGAGGGATAAAATAAAAAGAGAGTTACACACTGCGTGTGGGATGCAGTGATGTGGACTTTTTAAAAGAATAATGTTGTATTCATACGGGGAAATGTTATAAATTTAAAATGAATTTATGCCAAAGTTGTAGCAATAAGGTAGAAAAATCAGCATCACATTTGACTTCGATGTCGGTTAAAGATAATCGTGGAATATACTTTGCACGCAGAAAAATATTACTATACTACATAATATGAATATATTATAAAGACAGTATCTACGATGAAATAAAATGTATACAACTCAAGGGATATAAAATGCCATCGATAAGCACTGTCAAAGAGGTAAAAAAATCTATGAAAAAAATGAAAAATGATTAAGTTCTTTAAAACAATAATATAGGGTTTTATAACTATTTGTAAGATAATTGAATTTTAATAACTATATAATATATTATACGTAAAAACATTATTATTTTTCAATGCGGCTTATCATAGTAGGTATACTTAATACATATACTGTTTTATTACACTTTTTCTATTTATTTCCATATTTAATTTGCAGTTATTTCATATATAGTTGGTATATATTATGGTATTATGTGTATTTAATACTGTATACCATGTACTATGTACTTAAACACATTTTTTTCTTAGAAATAGTCAATAGGAGACCCAACAATTACATTGATATTAGTACCTTACAACATAATGGAGAAAAACAAAAAAACAACTTTAAGACGAACAAGAGTGTCAACGCAAAAATAGTTTCCGACAAAACAGATTTTCTTGTATTATTTTAAATCGTAAAAAAAATATCGTAGATACTTGAAAACATCACGTGTTCATATTAGCGTTATTTTTATACATAAATTATAATTTTAAAAATTATTGGATTTTTTTTGTTTAAGTTATTAATAGAAATTTTTAAATGTCAATAAAATATTACACGCTGTCAAAAGGTTTAAAAATTTAAAACAAGGTTCCTGGTGAATAATTCATACTAGAACTATAAAAAATGTATAGTCATTCTAAATTCAAATTTAAACAAAAAACAACAATTTTAATTATTTTGCTGCGATTTCTGTGAGAATTTGAAACTTTGGTGTAGGTATAATAGCCAATAGGTATATTATTATATTGTATACTACGCACAATGACATTTTCAAAATGTCTCGATTCATTTTATGATAATACGTATTTAACCTTTATTCACACCTTTCTAAATCGGTATTAACTCAAAAGTTAATAAATGTAATAAAAAATGTATAATATTATGATATAAATATTAAATATATACTATTGAAATAGTTAATAATATTAATAATCTAGATGAAAAGAAAACATTTATTTTATTCTTTTTTACTGTAATTCCAAACGTCCATTTTATTTGGCATATATATATTATTTAAGATATTATTTGGATCAGTATTTTTTGAAATATCTCTTTAAATATTTAATATTGTCAAGGATGAAAAACGGTCTTGTGGTATAGACCATAGTTGACCGTACATATTATGTATTGACACATTTCATTGTTGAAAATGATCTCTCACATGTTGCCAAAGAAATTGGTATGGTCGGATGAAATCGTAGAAGTTTTATACATTAGGAAAAGTTATAAATGTTATATATTTTTTTAATAAATTGATTTGATATTTGTGAATCAATGTTTTCGTTTACTTTCGAGGAATTCATTAAATTAGTTTCATTGCCATTTATCAAACTTCTAATTTTCAGCTGCAGCAGTAGATAAAACAAAATTTTTTGGAGATACAGGCTTCGTTCTCACTTTATTCTATGCTATCGTCGCCTACTCTACATAGCAAAATGGTTACTATTACATTTTTTTTTTTTGTATTCATTTTAATTACTGAATGTTACTATCAAATACAATTCATGAGTTACAGTTTACAACGCGTGTATTTTAACCTAGCCCATATCATATGATGATTACGAGTCGTATAATATTATACGCGCTATAGCGTGATCTTCAGTAACTATACCAAAAAAAATTAACATTTAGTCGTACTTTGGATAGACGTTTTTATATGATGGTTACTTTATTTAAATATAAACCATATACCTATAGACACGCTGCAATAGTTTAAAAAATCGATGTGATATGACAAAATGTATTTTAAATTTAAAAAACGTATTGTATCTGGCGTCGATGAACGACAAAGAGTCTACACGGTACAGCACTCGGTACTTTATAGGTACATTGTTTTGTGTATGTTGCGAGAACATTGACCATCCACGAGTCGTGATAAATATGCTTATTACGTTATGTTATACAGATACGAGAGTACGATCCATTTCATTCGGCGATCGCGACGGATGCGGCGTGGCGCTGTGAAATTTCAAAATAAAATACCTACGCAAGCAGCAGCTGTAGACCGTCGAACGCGTACATATTATAGTAGTCTGTACAGTATAAAACGCGCGTATAACGCTGCAGCTTTGTGGCGCGCGATTCGATAATGATATGTACGTCTTTTTCCGACACGATACCGTAATAATAATAATAATAATAATAATACATAACATATTACATTATAATATTATGTATATATATATAATATATATGCGATGCTTTGATGAAATGTTCAATCGTCAAGATAATTGTAAATAATAATCAGACCGAACAGCAGTCGTCTTCCGATCGACGCCGCGGCCGACAGTTAACACACCAGTTGCGCATAGTATATATATAATAATAATAATAGTAATACGATATAGTCATAGACCTTAAACTGAGTGTTAGGTCTTAGCATATAATATTATACGTTTAGGCGGTAGATGTGTAATATTTATAATATATTTTACAGATCAGTTTTCTTCTCGCGCCTCCACGCATTATCTATACGTATGTATATATATATATATATATATATATATATATATTATTATGCGATCCGTGTTATTGTCCATCGAATTATATTTAAAAATATACACCGCGCGGTCATTAGGGTCGACTATTTATACGGTCTGACTAGACTTTGATTGGTTTATTATTAACGATTCTGACGAAATGTTTTTCACGTTTTCGTATAGTAGCGTTGCGTGCCGACCGTTTAATAACGCGTATAATGGTAATGCGGAGGAAGCGGTTGGCAGCTATATACCGTTTTCCATCAACACTGCAGGTCAACGGAAAATACCACGGTTACCGCTCGGCAGAAAAATCGGGTTTTCACTGTACCGCGTATATTATAGTGTACAGTAAAGTTGAATAATTCACTTTGTATAGATATAACGTGTTATTAAAACCGTATTTATAAGTTACCTCGGTATTATATCACATTGATTGGATATTATACACTGAACACGGCACGAAACGGAGAACAATATTGTGGCGGTGTTATCAAGCAACATAAACAGTAAACAATAATAACATTATGGTCAGCAGTCGTCTCGATTACCTACGATGAAAGCCTGGTGGTAGTGCAGCTCTGTGCTATGAATTATTCGGCAGACACGATCCGCATTGTATGCGATAAACGCGAACCGATGATTTCCGCGATGATCGACGAGTCAGGAAAATAAGGTGTCGCTTCTGATTTTCTCCGCGTCCGCATTATACCGTTCGATCCTAGATTAAACTGTTTTCGCTCCGTATAAATTTGTTTAACTAGTGACGTGCAGTGCCACGTAAATTCAACGGAACGAGTCTTGAACATGATATACTATAGGTATTCGTTAGAACTCGATAAAATAGTCATATTGACGTTAAATACACGCTTTATGTCCATAATATGTCAACTTTTTGTGGGTATATCACGTGTAATAAAATGAGTAGAA